ACTTATAAATTTTCGTGCTTGGGTTTCAGTTATACAAAGATCCAGTACCCATCCCTCCACCAGTGCCCATCCTCCACCACCACGGGTCCCAGCATCCCTCCCCCCAATCCCCCCCCCCCCCCCCGTCCCACCCTGCCTCTGTGGCAGGGCATTCCCCCTTGTTCTCTCTCCCTTCTTTTGGGTACTGTGTTTTGCAAGAGAGGCATTGAGGAAAACATTGCAAGTTTTGAAAACAAAATAAAAACTGAGAGTTCTCACTGGGAGCTCAGCTTCCTGCACCCAAGGAGCAGCAGAGACATCGTCACCTGAAATGGGAGAAAGAATAGAATCCTTCTTTCCTAGTCGCCGCTCTAGTGTGGAATGCCAAAAATCTTAATGCTGCTAAGATGCTTGTGAATTTCTCAGATGTCAGCCTCGGGGCTGAGGGGCACATGCGTCATGGGGTCCCCATCTGGTCCAACATGACTTTGGTCACCAAAATAAATTAGGTTCTATATTGCTTAATGACTTGCTCCCAAGAGCAGCATTCTCTGGAGTCAAATGAACACATAAGCGAATGTAACAACCCAGACCCACATCCTTAACATGCCATCTGGACATGAATTACTTTCTTTATTGCTGGGGAAGAAAATAGAACAGTAAATAGTTGGCCATAAACTAAGTTTTAAAAAATAACCAGACCCTCTTGACCCACTAAGTCTAAATTATAAGTCTGGTTGTATATCACTGGAGGAATTCTGCTATAACTTAAATTTTTAAGTGTTTCTGTGAGTGTCTGTGTATGTGTTATGAGTATTGAAAATTTCAGTTTTATTTCTGGATTTTTGAACAACACCCAGACTTACTTCTGACTCTGAGCTGAGGAGGGTCACTTTTTCAGGAGGTTGGGGGACCATTTAGGATGCCAGGGATTGAATCCAGGTTGGTCACATGCAAAGGATGTACCCCACCTGCTATACTGTTGCTGTGGCCTTTGGAAATTTCAATTTCATTTAAAAAAATGAACAAAAATTGTTGACATGTTGTTTTCATTGCCAGAACTTAATGTTTCATTTTAACAGGATTTATTGAGCATAAACCATTAGAGTTTTGCATTTAGACCCAAAGCCAGTAAGGCAATTGCATTGGGTTTCATAACAGCTGCTCGTAATTAATATTTGTTTTATTTTTTTCAAAATAACTTTCAAAATCTTGCATCTGGTCAAATTTCTTTTAAAAAAAGGATGGTCAATTTTTTTCAAAGTGTCTGAAAGGATGAGTGGGGTCCCACTGAGATTTGGCTCTTTGGGGTTCATTACTGTGGTTGGGTCCGCATGTTCCCCTCCTCTCCAAGGGTAAATTTAAAGGCAGCACTAAGGGAGGAAAAAGAATTTATTGGCACTGAACATCTGTGGGTTTCTGATGGCTGGAACTATAGCTGACATGGGCCCTTGTTTCTACTTCCATTTCAGTCTGAGCTATTTTTAGGTAAGAGAATTTGACACTTTACACTAAAGGTTAAATTTAGTGATGGATATGAAAGAGGGAGTTAATGGAGTCTCTTCCCCTTCAAAACCCATCATCAGGTCGAGGTAAAAAGCTTTTGCCTTAAAAGCAAAAAGAACATGAAAGAAAAAAAAAGACAGTGAAGAGGGAAAAATGACATGAAAAGAGAAAAGAGACCAGCAGAGACACTGGATCTAATCCTTGGACAAATTCCATTTGGCTTGTGAGACAAGCTCCCAGATCTGATTTGATTTAGGACTGCTCTAGTTAAAATGCAATAAGAGAGTACAAACATTTAGTAGCAATGTTTTATATTAAAAGATGAAGACAAGACAGTTTATTGTTCCCTAAGTGAAGACAATGCACTCTAGAAAGAGAAAAGAGGGCCAGGGGAAACAGCTTGAAGGGTTACTGTGCATGCTTCATGTACAGGATTCCGGGGTTCAATCCCTGGCTAAATATGGTTCCCTGAGAAACCATAACAGCTGCTCGTAATTAATATTTGTTTTGCGGAAGGGACCACAAAGCTCCAGGAGTCACCCCTGAGCATTTCCGGGTGTGACCCCAAACCAAAATAAATAAAAATACATAAATTAATTAAACTAAAAAAGGAAAAAGAATATGACCCACATTTGCCAGACGTTATCCTATAGAGTGGTGGGCATAGGAACACATTTCTGGCTTACTGCTCCCGAGGAGAAGGACCAACTCCAAGATGCCAGGATTAGTACCATTATTCACATCAGCCTTCAGCTCACATAGTATTTGAATGACTTTTTTCCCTCCTGTAGGGATTCTCTCCCCTAAGTTTAAGAATTCAGATATTGGGGCCGGGGCAATAGCATAGTAGGTAGGGCATTTGCCTTGCATGCAGCCAACCTGGGTTCGATTCTCAGCATCCCATATGGTCTCCTGAGCACCACCAGGAGTAATTCCTGAATGCATGAGCCAGGAATAACCTCTGTGCATCGCTGGATGTGACCCCCCCACAAAAGAGAAACATATTCAGATATTGTCTTTTTCCAAGGAACCAATCTTGCTTTTTCTTCACTGAAGTTAAAACATTTTTACCCCTAAGGGCAGCTCAGATAGAGAAGGGAGCACCAAATAAAGGGTGTTTGGAGGATCCTCCCAGGATGGGAGATGCATGTTGAAAGTAGACTATGGACAAACATGATTACCACCCAATGCCTCTTTTGCAGACCACAACACCCAAAAGGAGAGAGAGAACAAAAGGGAATGCCATGCCACAGAGGCAAGGTGGGATGGGGGGATGAGGGTGGAAGGGATACTGGGATCCATGGTGGTGGAAAATGGGCACTGGTGGAGGGATGGGTATTTGATCATTGTATAATCGAAACCCAAGCACAAAAATTTGTAAGTCTACAACTGTACCTCATGGTGTTTCACTAATAAAAATTAATTTAAAAAAACACATGTTCACCCCTAAGGCTAGAGGAAAACTACTGCTAGATTTTGGTTGTTCTGTGCTTAAATTGTTCTGGGCTCTCAATGAAATCATCTGTGGTGGTTCAGGTCTCTGTTCCATGAACATTCTCTCTCTTTATAAAATTTTAATTAATTCTTTAATTGAATCGCTGTGAGATATGCAGTTACAAAGTTGTTCATGACTGGGTATCAGTCATATAATGTTCCAACACTTGTCCCTTCACCAGTGTACATTTCCCACCACCAATATCCTCAGTTTCCCTTCTGCTAACACCCCACCACCAACCAGTCTGCCTCTGTGGAAGTTACTTCTCTCTCTGTCTCATCTCTGTCTCTCTCTGTCTCTGTCTCTCTTGGTATCTCTCTCTCTGTCTCTCTGTCTCTGCTTCTGTCTCTGTCTCCCTCTCTCTCCTCCTGGCCATAATGGTATGCAATACAGGTATTGAAAGATTATCATGGATATTATTTCACCTACTTTATGTATTCAGATTTTGTCCATTGTGATCACTTCCAACTATCATTATCACAGTGGTCCCTTCTTTGTCCTAACTGTACTCACTGCCATTGTGGCAAGCTTCCAACAGTGGACATTTTCTCTCTCTCTCTCTCTCTCTCTCTCTCTCTCTCTCTCTCTCTCTCTCTCACACACACACACACACTCCTACATGGCTGGTGACTCAGATTGTCCTCTTACAGTCACAGGGGCAATGCCTTTGTCCTCTGAGTCTGAGAGATGGAGTTGGTAGTAATCCAGGGGTGACCACCGAGTGAGCAAAGGCAGGAGGAAAGCATATCAGTTTGGCTGATAGAGAGGATGGCTACTCCAGCCTGAGCCTGAGCCTGCCTCTGTGCCTTCTTCACCTCCAGAGTCAGAGTTTAGTACCCCCTGAAGTGAGTGTCCTGGATCTCAACTGTTCTGGACGTGTGAAGTGGGCATGTGAAGGCTTCCCCCCACCAGCACCATTCCTCAGACACAGAGGGCATCCAAAACTTCAAGTCAATCCAGACACTGTCTACCCAGAGATGTCATCAGATCCCACTGATAAAGGACTCAGTTCCCCAGACTACCCTCCACAGGCTGGCTGAAAGCCCCAATTTCCAGTCAGAGGTGCCCAGGACCTCTCCTCAGTTTCATCGAACTTGCATCTCAGAATGATGCAGTCCTGAGCAAACCCATTGACTCACAAAACCAGTGGTTTGTGGCAAAGGTTACAATTTATGACCGAATGGAAGAGACACAAGATACAAGATGCATCACTTTCCTACTGGGCTCCCAAATTTAGTGGTGTTGGAGTAACATTAATGAAACAAAGGGGCGCTTTTACTTCTTCTAAAAAGGATTTAGCTCAGAACAATGAACATTGTCTCCAACTAGATCGTTAGATCAAACTAAACGTTATGAAGTGATGACGCTGCTACCTCTTTGAAGGAGTTGGGAAAGGTAGGGGATAAAATAACAGCTTGGAATCCTGTCAGCAAAGAGAAGCATGAGGCTTGGATTCCAAGGACACAGTGACTATAGTCTAGTCAGAGCTGCTAACTTCCTGTCGCCTGCCTCTCCCCCACCTCTGCACAGCAGCTCGGGGCTCAATGTCATAGGTGAGAACGACCCTCAGAACGGTTAACTATCTCATCCAAGGTCAAAGCCAGTGGAGGCATTCAGGACCCAGAGATCATGAAAGCCTTTGTTCCAAGGAGAGGAGGAAGCGAAGACAACACTCTCTCCAAACGTGTAACACCACGCTGCACTGACAGGGCCTTTCCACTTCCAATCCCATTTTGAAAGGTAAAGATGAAAAAGAAAACCGGGACACCACGAGAGGACTGGAGCACAAATTGGGGGGAGGAGCGTGCGTAGCTCTCCAGCCTGGGAGAGAAGCCCCGCCTCTTTCCCCGCCCCTGCCCGCCCAGGGACACGCCCCCGACACGCCCCTTTCCCCCGCAGCCCCGGCCGGGCGCAGCCCACTGCGGCTGCGCAGAGCCGGGGCGGGGGCGGGGCGAGCGCGCGCGCGAGGGGCGGGAACGCGGAAGCGGCTGCGGCGCGGGGCGCGGGCGCGGGGGGCGGGGTCGGGGGCGCGGGCGCGGGCGCGCGGGGCTGACAGGTGCGGGGGGCGGCCGTGCGGGCCGGGGGGCGGCGGCGGCGGTGGCCCGGTGGCGAGTCTGAGCCGCGGCGGCGATGCTGGAGACCCTGCGTGAGCGGCTGCTGAGCGTGCAGCAGGATTTCACCTCCGGGTGGGTATCTGCTGGGGGGACGGAAAGGGGCCCGGGGCAGCGGGGGACCGAGGATTCCCCCCTTCCAACTCCCCAGCTCAAGGTGCGCCGCTCCCCCCGCCCCCCCACGAGCTTGCCCACCCCGGGGTGCACCGCCCGCCCCAGTCTCCGCTCCGGGCGGAAGAAAGTAGCGAACTTTCCCGAGTCGCGCGGCGGCAACAAAGTAACTTAGATCGGGGCTGGCTGCTAGGCGCGCCCGGGATGCGTCGGGGTGCGGGAGGAGCCCTCCGGGGACCCCCCCAGGGGCCGGCCCGGGGAAGGGGAGTCATGTGAGAGGCCAGCACGACTCCCCGTTTCCGCCTCGCTCCGGGCCGGCGCCCCCCACGGCCGCCTCCGGGACACCTGCTCGCGCCCCCTGCAGTCCGCGCTGCCCTTCGCCGCGTCGTGCAGCCGGGCTTTTGCCTTTCTGGGGGGCTCTACCTCTACCTCTAACCCCACCCCCACCCCACCCCCGAGCTTTCCCGAGGACACCCTTGGGCAGGATAGAGCCCGCGGTGCGGTCCAGACTCGCATCACGCGTTTCCCAACCTGGGCTTTGAATCTCCCGGACGCCCACCCCCCTCCCCGGGTCTCGGGTCGCAAGGGTCGCACCTGCCCGCAATGCCTCCTGTCCCGGGTGGCTTTTGCGAGATTCTGCCCAAAGCGACCCCCAGATGCAGCCGAGCCAGGCAGAGCCTGGGCACAGACTGGCGCCAGGCTGCGGGGAGTTATTACTTTTCTGCAACTTGACTCGGAACTTTTGGCCTCGGTTCCCACGGCATTCCAAGGAGCGGAAGATATTTAAAAGGTGCTCCTGCATCTCACAGGGATGCTGAGGGTCCGTGAGGCCCACGTGTGAAACTCGCGGGATGCTCTGAATAGTAGGGCCGCTAACTCGAAGCGTTTTCAACTGCCTAAGAACTATACACAAAGGGGTTCGTACTCTTTTTGCCAGTTGTGTGCTGAGTAGAAAACTGGCAGATCCTTGAGCGCTTTCCACAGGCAGGTACAACGTTTTGGATAGCTTTGACTTGTTCTTAATTAAGGATTTTAATCATAGGGCCGGAGCATCAACCCACCGGGTAAGGCGCATGCGCGGCACGCAGCTGATTCTTCTTTGCTTGACTTAGGGCTTGAATCCGAGGACCCATCGCTAACTTGGTAGCAAGAGCTTCTGCATTTGGTCCCCAAGTACCTTTAGGTGTGATTTCTGAGTGCAGAGCCAGGAGTAAGTCCCAAGCGTAGCATGGCAGGGTGCACCCTTCCGCACCTCCCCCACCAGAAGATTATTAATTATAGAGCCAGAGAAGTTGCTCAGTCAGTTGTAGAACATACTTAGTATACAAGAGGCCTGGGTTTGAATCCCTGGTGTTGTGTGGTCTCCTTAACATTGAGCTGGGAATAACCTCTGAGGACCAGAGTGCCCCCCATATCAATTGTAGACACTTTAGGGATCATTTATTGGTGGTGTTGCTGCATGCTTGCATATTTCTCCCTTTGAATTTAAAACATAACTTAAGTGGTTAAATTGTATTGACGGATTTTGGTATGCTGGTGGTGGTCACATGAGAATTGGCAGAGGCAAAGTGTCTGTTCCACCTCGATTATCATTCAGGGATGTCCCTGATGGCCTCGCAGTTCCTTACCTGGCAAGTAGTAACTCTGAGTCACGTGATTGCCTCAGAACCTATTCAACTTACGAGTTTTGCTTATGGTTAAAATTCTGGGCACCAGTGAGTGTGGTCCAACCTCCCCATCCTCCAAAAATAGGAGGTCCAACCTCCCCATCCTTCAAAAAAATCTACCTGTGGTGGTCTGTGGGGTACCCAGCTGCCCATGAATTTATACAACTCTCGATAGGACTCTGGACAAAGCCCCCCCCCCCTTAGGACTTAATTAGGTAGAGCATTGGGGGAATCTTTGAAACTCATTTCACTCCTTGAAGCTTCCACAAAGCCAGGGCTCTTTTGAGGTCAGGCATGCTGAAAGGGCTTTCAGGCTGATTAGACACTTGGGTGGCTACTGGCCAGTAACCAGACACTCCGCTGACAAACCACTGGACTCTTGAGTCTGTGCCACTAACCTGTCTACCTGTGGAGATTCTGTCTAAGGGATGGTTGATGACTGGCAGCTTAGACTAAAATTTGCTACTGCAAGTCCAGAAATTTCTATGCAATTCTTACCAAGGAATGGCCCCCGTACTCCATTTCAGTTGGCTTTTCCAGATGCATCTGGAAACCAGCCCATTTGTGTATGTGCCGGTGCTTTCCAACGCTCCTGGTCATGGCCAGTCAGACTCGGCCCAGCCGCTTACAGCTTTTCTGATCATTTGCAACATCCGAAAATTCTGATAAAATCTGGTTTTATCTAGGCAAGTTTACTTTAAAAAAAATCGGAAGTAAATAGGATTATTCATAGACAAAACAATGCCCTGTGAGTGGTTGAAGTCTGTCTGATGAACTGTAGTTTCTGTGTTTCTTTCGAGCTTAGAAAAAAATGCAGTGTAACACCAAGTCAGGACTGTGGTGATCTGTGGGGGACCCAGCTATCCACGGACTATTGATTTTTCTTGTATTTTATTTATAACAATTATGTCAACATTGTGAGCTTACTTTCATAAGTGGCAGACCATGAGATTGATTCTGGGCGGCAATTCTTTTCTTTTTTTTTTCTTTTACTTTTCTAAATCGAATCACTGTGAGATACACAGTTACAAGGTCATTTGTTACAGTTACAATTCATGATTGGATTTCAGTCATAATGTTCCAACACCCATCACTTCACCAGTGTACATTTCCCATTGCTACCAATGTCCCCAGTTTCCCTCCACCCCTCCTCCACCCCGTCTCTGTGGCAGACACTTCTCTCTCTGTCTCTCTGTCTCTCTTTCTCTCTCTGTCTTTCTCTTTTTCTATCTCTCTCTTTTTTTTTTGCTTTTTGGGTCACACCTAGTGATGCACAGGGGTTACTCCTGGCTCATGCACTCAGGAATCACTCCTGGCGGTGTTTGGGGGGACCATATGGGATGCTGGGAATCAACCCGTGTTGGCTGTGTGCAAAGCAAATGCCCAACCTGCTGTGCTATCGCTCTAGCCCCTGTCTCTCTTTTTCTGTCTCTCTCTGTCTCTCGACCTCATTCTTTAAAAAACAAATTTTTTTATATCCAGGTGACATTTGCTTTAGAAATGCAGTGGGCCATATCATATCCACCAGCAAAGTGGCAGCAGCCTCCGCCACTATGCCTAGGACCCTTCCTCTCAGTGCCCCTTGACCCCCTCTTTAGAACCCTCTGGCACCAGCTCGGGGCCTAAGGGCTTATGTGTCTACTACCTTGTTTTGTTATTTTGTAACCCAGTCTCTTTCTCCTGCCCTGCTTGGCTTGGCTTCTGTGTGTGTTGGAGCAAAAGGCAGGTTCATCTTCCTTCCTGCTGAATAGTATTCTATTGTGTGCACGTCCCACGCAGTGCACACAATGGCTGCACCACATGGTTTCCAGATCTCCACTCTCGGAAACTGCATTGCCATGAACATGTGTCTTTGACACACGTAGTGGTGCATGGGTCCGTTTGAATGAGTGGTTTTGTGTTCTTGGTTTGGACGCCGAGGAGTGGACTTAACAATCATTCAAGTTTCAGATGTTCCCCTTCCTGGCTTTCTGTCTGTGTGCAGTAATCAGGGCTCATGACTGTGTGTTGTCGTGGAGCTTGCCGGGGGTTCCACATCAGATTCCGTCTTTGCACACTTGGCTGCTGTGCTTGTTGGGGGTGGCACCCACTTATTTGGCTGTGAGGCTTATGCTCATGTTCATGGGGAGTCGCAGGGGGTCATACTCACTTCCTGTTGCACCTCATGCATTCGGGTTACCGTGTTTGCTGGGGGTGGGGGTAGGGTGCACCTTTACTTGTGGTGCTCACACATTCTCGCCAGGGGTTGTAATGCTGGCCATGGTGCTCACACATCCTTTTAGTTGCGGGGATTGCCTCTCCCCTGGCTGCAGTGCTCAAGCATCTCTGGTGGTAGTGCTCCCACACCCCTGACCGCAGTGCTTCCACACCCCTGGCTGCAGTGCTCAAGCACCTCTGGTGGCAGTGCTCCCACACCCCTGACCACAGTGCTCCCACATCCCTGACTGTAGTGCTCCCACACCCCTGACCGCAGTGCTCCCACATCCCTGACTGTAGTGCTCCCACATCCTTAATGGCAGTGCTCCCACATCCTTGACTGCAGTGCTCGCACATCCCTGACTGCTGTGCTCCCACACCCTTGACTTGAGTGCTCCCAACACCCCTGATGGCAGTGCTCCCATACCCCTGACTGCACCAGCGATCACAGACAGCAGAGCTGCCAAGATGGCACTCACGTGTGCCACAGCACCATGGGTTGAACTTGTGGCTTTTTGCTTGTAGAGTAGGTGCTTTACCACCTGACTGGCCCCCAGCAGCTCCCCACCCCCACCTTGAATTGTTTGCGAAATCATCAAACTCTTCCAGGGCGACTGGACCAGATGTTAGACCCCCAGGCAGTGAAGGGAGGCTTGTTTCTTTTCCACTGCATCCTCACCAGCACTGGTGGTTTCTTTCTTTTTTTTTGCCTCAGGAGGGTTCTCATTGTCTGAGGCGACAGCTCCTTGTCACTTTGACTTGGGTTTTCCTGATAACCAATGAAGAGAAACACCATTTCATTCGCCTGTTGGCTCTCTAATTACCTTCTTTGGAGAAGTGTCTGTTCAGCTCTTCTCTCTGTTTGCTGGTGATGGTGTTTGTTCTTTATGCTGGTGAGTTTTGGGAGTTCCTTATGTAACTTGGGTATTAGCCCTTTGTCGGATGTGTGGTGTGCGAATATTTTGCTCCCCTCAGTAGGGTGTCTTGATTTAGTGATACCTTCCCCCCACCACCCCTTGGTATAGATGGTTCTCCGTGTGATGCTAAAATTTTTTTTAATTAATATTTGTTTCCTATTGTTTATGTTTTCATTTGTTTTCCATGCCGAGAGGGTGAATTCATCAAAGACACCATGGAAACCAGTGGCATAGAATATTTTGCCTGTACTTTCTTCAGTGTGCTCTGTGTCTTGGTTCTAACATCTGTCTTTAATTCATTTTGAGTTAACTTTTTGTGCTTGATGTAGTGTCCAATTTCAGTTTACAACATGTGACTATTTGTTGGAGAGACTTTCTTTGTTTTATGCTCTTGGTCCCTTTGTCATATATTCACTGTCCATATACAGAGGGTTTATTTCTGGGTTCTCAGTTCTTCTCCTTTGTCTATTTCATTTTTTACCAGAACCACACTCTTTTTTTTTTCTTTTTGGGTCACACCCGGCGATGCACAGGAGTTACAACTGGCTCTGCACTCAGGAGTTACTCCTGGCGGTGCTCAGGGGACCATATGGGATGCTGAGAATCGAACCCGGGTCGGCCGCGTGCAAGGCAAACGCCCTACCAACTGTGCTATCTCTCCAGCCCCAGAACCACACTCTTTTTATGACAATAGCTTTATAAGTCAAGAAATGCTATGCCTCTCACTTTTTTGGGGGGAGGGGGGCTGGCCTCAGTTTTTTTTTGGCTTTTCAGGGAGTTTTATGGTTCCATACAAATTTCAATCTTATCTGCTCTGTGTCCATTGGGATATTACTAGGTATTAGTTTGACCTGCGTGGTGCTTTCGGCAGAATGTTAATTCTTCTGTCCTTGAGTATGCAATATGTTTTCCTTATGTATTCCATTTCTTTAAACAATGACGTCATAGTTTTTGATATATGTCTTTCACCTTCTTTGTTGAGTGGGCCCCATTCTTTCCTGTAAGTGAATTCTACTTTGATGCAACTTATTAGAAGTATTGGTTCTGGGGGCTGGAGCAATAATACACTTTAGTACTATTTGGTACCCGGCCAACTCAGGTTCCCTCTCCATCATCCCATACGGTCTCCAGAGCATGGCCAGCAGTGATCCCAGAGTACAGCCAGGTGTAAGCCCTGAGCACTACAGCGTGTGATCACAAGCAAAAACAAAACAAAAAGAAGCATCAGTTCTTTTTGGAGTTCACAAAGAACATCCATTGTTTAGGCACTGGCTTGAGCACTACAGGGAGTTTTAGATTTGCAGAAGCACACACTTCATACTCTCTGAGGTGTTTGCTTTTTGGTTTTTCATGCAGTCATGACCAAAGTTCCTTAGGATTAAAAACTTCCAGTATGCAAAGCCCTTTATGTAACTGAAAATCAAATTTACTGAAAAGTTATAATAGTCACCCATTTCCTGTTTGTCATGCTCTGGGTTCCTGGATAGGAGTAGAAAATCTCATGACTGGTTATTTCCCCCACTCCTAACCCCCAGTGCTCTCACTCTCATGCCCTAGACTTTCAAAACCCATTTAAAGGAGATGGCCTAGGGGCTGGAGCGATAGCACAGCAGGTAGGGCATTTGCCTTGCACGTGGCAGACCCGCATTCGATTCCCAGCATCCCATATGGTCCCCTGAGCACCACCAGGAGTAATTCCTGAGTGCAAAGCCAGGAGTAACCTCTGTGCATCACTGGATGTGACCCCCCCCCAAAAAAAAAGATGGTTTAATCATGTACATTTACATTTTGTAACATGGTGAGGTTTTCCTTGAAATTTTGACTCTTGACAGAATTACTGGACCTTTTAAGTAGACAAGAAAAAACAAATATGGGGCAGGAAGAATAGTTCAGTCGGTGGAACATTTGCCTGTGACCGACCCAAGTTCAGTACCCAGCACCCGGTAGCGTCCCCCAAGTACAGCCAGGAGTGATCCCTGAGCACCCATGCCTGACTGTGATGGTGGCACATTTTCCAGTGCCTGGTGCTAATTGAGGCTTGCTTGAGTCAAGTTGCACTGCTTGTGCCGTAGGCCACAGAGCGGAGGCCCAGGGTAGCATTTCTTTCTTTGCGCGTGCACGCATGCTTGCCAGGGCTTCTGCTCTTTCCTTCCCATGCTTCCTACCTTCTGGTCGAGGTGCTTGCTAGCAGGTGCTGTGGTGCTCATGTGCCTTTCAGCTATAGTGTTTGCCGGGGATCACACTCCTCATTATGGTGCTTACATGCATCTCGTGGTGGTATGGCTGGAAACTGCTTTCTGTGGTGCCGGGGGTCCCCGATAACAGAGGTGCCAGGATCAGATTCTACTCCTGGGGCACGCTCTTGACGTGTGGGAGCCCTGGGTTTCTTTCCCCCAGTGCTGTGTGTCTGTCTGAACACAGCTGGGAGCAGCCCTGAACCCTGAGCTGGGATTGGCCCCAAGCTGGGTGGGGCTCCAAAGGAAAAGAGGTGCTTTTAATGGCATTTTGGGGGCTGGAGCGATAGCCCAGTGGGTAGGGCGTTTGCCTTGCATGTGACCAACCTGGGTTCGATTCCCAGCATCCCATATGGTTCTCCTAGCACCACCAGGAGTAACCCCTGTGTATCACCAGGTGTGACACAAATATATATATATATATATATATATATATATATATATAGCATTTTGGGCAAGAAAAGTATAAAAATGTTTGCTATGAATTTCTCTGTTCGCAGTGTCTTGCATAGAGTAAACGTTCAACTATTTCTTATCTAAGGGACCAAATATGATAACCTCTCAGGGTCCGTGTTGCAAACCATAATGCCCAAAAGTAGAGAGAGATTATGGGGAATCATGTCTGCCATGGAGGCAAGGGGAGGGTTGAAAAGGGGGAGTATACCGGGGATATTGGTGGTGGGGAATGTGCACTGTTGGAGGGATGGGTGTTTGATCATTGTGTGATTGTAACCCAAACATGAAAGCTTGCAACTTTCTCATGGCGATTCCATAAAATTAAAGAGAAAAAATTTTAAAAAATTAAAAAGATATTTCTTATCTAAATAGGTACTTAATTCTTGTGTTAGAAAAAAAAAAGCTTAGAGGCCGAAGAGGTAGTACAGTGGGTAAGGTGCTTGCCTTACACATGACTGACCTAGGTTTGATCTCTACATCCCATATGGCTACTTGAGCACTACCAGGGGTGATCCCTGAGTGCAGAGCCCCGGATAACCCCTGACCATTGCCAGCTGTGGCCCCAAATAAAAATTAGCTCAGGGGGCTGGAGAGGTAGATCAATGGACAGGTGTGTATGCTTTGGAGACAGAGAGAGAGAGAGAGAGAGAGAGAGAGAGAGAGAATTCATTTATCTAACATAATATTACATTTGTGGCTAAATATATATTTTATACTTATTAAATTATAGGCTGAAGACTTTAAGTGACAAATCAAGAGACGCTAAAGTGAAAAGTAAACCCAGGTAAGTGTGTGCCGTTTCATTTACGACTAATTAAATTTTATACTACTTTTGGCAGCAGTCGTAATAGAATAGCGACTTCAGTGGATTGAATTTTTCTGACTACAGAGTAATTTATTGACTCTAAATTTTGTAAGGGGACATTTTCCTGATAAAGTTATAGAATGGTTGGAAGGTGGTAGAATGTTATTGTTTCACTCTGACAGTCAGTGACTATTGAGGGGACACAATTAGTCATTTGTATCTGCATTATTACATTTGTGGCTAAATATATATTTTATACTTATTAAATTATAGGCTGAAGACTTACAGGTCCTGCATTATTCAAAGCAATTTAATTAATGAAATAGTTTGCTAAACTCATCTCCTTAGTTATGTTACCTGCTTTATATGTAAACCCCACAGCATTGTGTAATTTTTTTATTTTTAAAATAAAACGTGACTAAGTTTCACTTTGAATGTATGGATTATGAGTCTTAAAAAATATTGATACAGATTCAGTGCAATTCCTATAAGGATATCCATGTCATTTTTCAAAGAAATAGAGCAAACACTCTTGAAATTCATATGGAACCATTAAACCCCCAGGAATAGCCAACACAATCCTTGGGAAAAAGGTGATGGGATCACATTCCCCAACTTCAAACTGTACTACAAAGTGGTAGTAATTAAATCAACATGGTGTTGGAATAAAGACAGACCCATAGACCAATGGAATAGAATTGAATATCCTGACACAGACCCCCAAATTTACGATCATTTAATCTTTGATAAAAGAGCAAGAAATATGAAGTGGAGCAAGGAAAGTGTCTTCAACAAGTGGTGCTGGGAAAACTGGACAGCTACATGTCAAAAAATTAACTCAAACCACTTTCTAACACCATGCACAAAAGTCAGATCAAAATAGATTAAAGATAATAACAGCAGACCTGAGTCCATAAGGTACATGGAAGAAAACATGGGCAAAACCCTCCATGACATTGAAGCAAAAGCACCTTCAAAGATGAAACACCACGGACCAAGCAAGTGGAAGCAAATATAAACAAGTGAAACTACATTTAACTAGAAGCTTCTGCACCTCAAAAGAAAAGGTGTCTAAGATACAAAGACGGTCCATAGAATGGGAAAAATTACTCAATACCCATCTGATAAAGGGTTAATATCACAGTTATAGAAGGCATTGGTAAAACTTTACATCTAGAAAACATCCAACCCCATCAAAAAATGGGGAGAAGAAATAAACAGAAACTTCCTCAGAGAAGAAATTCATATGGCAAAAAAAGCACATGAAAAAATGCTCTTCCTCACTAATCATCAGAGAAATGCAAATCCACACAATTAGATATCTCACACCACAGAGACTGGCACACATCCAAACGAACAAAAGCAACGAGCGTTGGCACAGATGCGGGGAGAAAGGCACTCTCCTTCATTGTTGGTGGGAATGCCGACTGGTCCAGCTTTTTGGGAAAACAATATGGACATTCCTCAGAAAAACTAGAAATTGAGTTCCCACTTGACCCAGCAATACCACTTCTAGGAATATATCCTGGGGGGCCAAAAACATATAGCAGAAACATCATTTGCACTGCTATGTTCATTGCAGTACTATTCATAATAGCCAGCATCTGGAAGCAACCTGACTGCCTGAGAAAAGATGACTGGATAAAGGAACTATGGTCCGTCTACACAAAAGAATACTGTGCAGCCATTGGGAAAAATTAATTCATGTAACGGATGGACATGGAGAGTATCGAGCTGAGTGAAATGAGTCAGGAGAGGGATAGATATAGGATGGCTGCATTCATTTGTGGGATATAAAAAATAATAGGGTGGAGACTAATATCCAAGACCAGGGAAAGCATGGGCCAGGAGGACTGGTCAATGGTTGGAAGCTTGCCACAAGAGTGTCTGGGGAGTAAAGGGCAGTTAGGTTGGAGAATGGACCAGTATGACAATAATTGTTGGAAATGATCATTCTGGACAGGAACTGAGTATTGAAAGTAGGTATAGGGATATACCTAGTAACCTTTCAGGATCTATATTGCAAACCATAATGCCCAAAAGGAAAGGGCAGTGGGTGGGAGGGTGAGGGGGGGAGAGAGACATGCCATACAGATAGGGGAGGGAGGGGTGGGAGGGAAACTGAGGATATTGGTGGCGGGAAATGTACACTGGTGAAGGGACGGGTGTTGGAACATTATATGGCTGAAAACCAATCATGAACAGCTTTGTGTATCTCACTGTAATTCAATTTTAAAAATGTATTATAAAAAATTTTAAAAATCTACTATTGAAGTATTCATTGTATTATGGGCATGAATCTGTATTATAATGTATGACTATATTATATTCCATACCTTAACATATTGAAGGTGGGCAATATATAACAGTATGTTTTAAAATTAATATATTTTTCTAAAATTTAAGATAATTGCTGCTTAGTGATTTAAAGTATTAATACCACAATTGACAGTTTCAAAATCTTTGTAACTTTTTTTTTAGTTGGCCCTAATCAGAAATGATTTTAATAAGTGTTTCTTTTGATAGGACTGTTCCATATTTGCCAAAGTATACTGCTGGGTTAGAACTACTTAGTAGGTAAGTGGTTTCATTTATAAAAAGTTCACAATATCTCATTGTAAAGATATTTTTTAATTTTATAACTTAAAATTTTTTAGATTAAAAATAACAACTAGATTTTAGTTGTTATTAAATAGTCACCGAAAATGATTTACTTACTGGCTTCCCTGAGGAATTTTAACATTCTGCTGCTCAGTGGAAAGACCATGGAGACCGGGCGCAGATTTGTCACTGTCATATTTTCTAGTCGATGCTTTTATTCTGTGTTTCATTTTGTTGCAAGAAAATTGTGAATTTGCATCGTCAGTAATTTGATTTTTTTTTTATATTGTTTCTTCTCCAATTCTTTTCTGCTGGCTGGCATGCAGACTGATATTCATCTGTGCCATTCCTTTTTAGTGGGGGAGTGGGGCAGGGTGGGGGACACACCTCAGAGTTCCCAAGGCCCACGCCTGATTCTGAGTTCAGGGGTCCCTCCTGGAAGTGCTTGGGTGAGCCAATGCCAGAACAGAACTGAGGGCATCAGCCATGAGCAAGATGCACCTTAACTCCTGTACCTTTCTCTTCTGCTGTCTCCTGAATTTCCGTTTTCCATGGCCTGTAGGGAGTAAGCCTGGAAGTGCTTAGGGGTATCCAGGGTCTGTGCTCAGCAATGACTCCTAGTGGTGCGTGGGGGACCATATGTGATGCTATGGCAGGAATTCAAATTGGGGTCGACAGCACGCAAGGCAAATGCCTTAGCTCCTATCCTATCTCTCTGGTCTTAAGCAAGTACAAAAAGCAAAGCAAGTTTTATGCAAAACCTTCACTGGGCTGACGAGGCAGTGCAGGGATAGTGTGCTTACACTGCATACAGCCGACCTTGGTTTGCTATCATATGTGGTCTCCTGAGCATTGCCGAGAGTGAGCCCTGAGCACAGCTGGGTGTGACCCCCCCAACCCAAATCCAAATATACGTGCATCAGAAAACCCTTCCTGTGCCCATATTGTCCAGATGCCTTTTTGTTTAGTCACGTTCTAAATTCTGACCTATCACATGCTCCAGAAAGAAGAGCAACTAAGGTCTCTTGGCTGCTTTGCCAGAGACTTGACTCCAACATGTTCCCACCCAGTGAAGCAAAGAACGTTTTTTTAAATGCCGGTTCCAGTTTGGTAGCATTTAATGCTCTTTCATGTTCACATGAAACCTGAAAAGGGGATGTAAGTCTGAATTTTAGTTTCTTGGAATTCCCTCCAGGTCCAGTGTGGCTTTTCAGACTGCGTTGTCTAGATTCCAATTCTGTGTCTTTACTTTCATCCTGACTGCTAATTAATTCTTCCCTACTCTGGGAGCCCTTCCCTGCGGCATCAGGGTACCACCATTTCCTAAGGCACACACTTACCACAACAACCCACTCATTATTACTGATTCGCAGATTTATGAATTTTTCCCTTTTACTTATGTTAATTGACTTTTAACCATTCTGTTACACTCAGAGAAACAACTTCGTAAGATGTCTGCTTATCTTAAAAGTTTGGAGCTGGGGGACTGGAGTGATAATACAGTGGGGAGGGTGTTTGACTTGTGTGCGGCCGGCCCGGGTTCTATTCCCAGCATCCCAGATGCCCCCCTGAGCAACGCCAGAAATAATTCCTGAGTGCAGAGCCAGGAGTAACCCCTGAGCATGACTGGGTGTGACACCGAAAGCCAAATAAATACATAAAATGAAAAATGGAAATTCACTACTCTTCTAAAAAAAAAAAGTCTGGAACTTTAAGTGCCAGAGACACAGTACAGGGGTTCAGGCACTTGCCTTGAATGTGGATGACCCTGGTTCAATCCCTTGCATGTGTGATCTGGGCATTGGAAGCTACCTCTGATTGCAGAAGGGTGTAAACCCTGAGCACTTCGTTTAAAAATAAATAAATAAATAAATAAATAAATAAAATGTGGAGTTTAATTTTTATAACAGCTTTAGGTTTTCAGCAGAATTGAGCAGAGGGCTTGGGGGTGTCTCATATACCCCATCTGAAAACCTCTTGAGCCGTGTGCCCTAAAACGTGTTTATCCTTGGTGTGTGTTCTCCATGCCTTGACAGGGAGGTGTGTTCTTTTGCTGTTGAGCAGAGGGTTCTGTAGCTGTTAGGTCTGCTTTGTCCAATTGTTTTTTTTTTAAATTTTTATTAGTGAGATACCATGAGGTACAGTTGTAGACTTACAAATTTTTGTGCTTGGGTTTCAATTATACAATGATCAAATACCCATCCCTCCACCAGTGCCCATTTCCCACCACCACAGATCCCAATATCCTTCCCCCCCCCCCCCCATCCCACCCTGCCTCTGTGTCAGAAAGAAAGGGATAGACATAGAAAGATTGCATTCATCTGGGGAACTTAAAGTAACAAAATAGGAGACTAACACCCAAGAATGGCCGAGATTAGTACCAGGAATTTTGCTCCATGGCTTGGAGCAAAATTCACACATGCTAGGGGAAAAGGGAGCTCTGATAGAGAAGGAGCACCAAATAAAGGGTGTTGGGAGGATCCTCCCAGGATGTGAGAAGCAGGATGAATGTCCAATTGGTTTTTGTGTTCGGGTCCTTCCCTTCCCTGTTTCCCATCTGATCTTGGTCCCCATATTGGAGGGTAGGGTAGGAAATCTCCGTTCTGAGAACCCCGTTCTGTCATTCTGACACGTTGAGTCCACGGGACAGGCTGATGAGCCCACTGTGGCAGTCCACCCAAGCCCACCAGACGGGGCAGGAGGACAACCCCTAGGGGGAGGGTGAGTATACAGAGCTGTATGAAAAAGACAAGACAGGCACACACTCAGGGAGTCTCCGCAGGGCAAAGACTCACTTTATTGCAGTCAGGTTTCAGTTTAGATACCTGAAGAGAAAAAGGAGGAACCATGGATGAACACCTTTCAGGGGGATTTCCCATGCAAGACCACAAGCCGTCAAGCAGGGTGTTCTGGTTCCTCACTCTCCCTGGCTGGCTGGCAGTTAGCTTGCTCAAAGGTTCCTGGCAGGGGCAATGCCAGCCAGGGGTAGCAGCCAGCTGTCTGCAGGGGGTATGGATGCTGGGAAGTCAAGAGGACCCTGCCAGTGGGACTGCTACCACTCGGCTGCCTGGTCCAAGTCTCAGGGGCTCACCCTTGACCCCAGCTGTCCCCTCAATCGTCCCTGCGACGCCCCACTGTTTTTCTCTTTAGTTCTTTCAATAGTTGCTTCATATGTGTTGAGGATCCCGTCCAAAACCAGGAAATGAACCCTTTTAAGTGGTCTCCAGCCTTTGAAAAAGGAATTCTATCAGCTGTTGCCCCATTCATACCCTTGTTTCCAAATAAGGATCTAATCCAGGGTCTCTCTCAGCATCTCTCATCTGCAGCAGCCTCTGAGTCTTTCGTGCCCTTGACTCATGGAGAGTACTGGCACAGATGCCCCCCAGTTTGGGGTTATTGCACTTTCTCCTTCGGAAATTCAGGTTCCTGCCCTTTTGGTCAGCAATACCAGAGAGTAAAATGTTCTCAGTCTGTCATTCATTAGGCTCTTGATATTGTTATCTCCCTTGATTGTTCATATTGATCATTTGGTTAAGGAGGTGTTGGCAGCTTTCTCCATTCTTAGTACTATTTCTCCCTGGCTCTGAGCTCAGGGATCACTCCTGGCAGTGCTCAGGGGACCATTGTGCTGGGAATCGAACGCTGGTCAGCCATATACAAAGCAGGTATCCTACTTAACTATGCTATTGCTCCTTCAAGTGATATTTTTAAGATGATGTAATTATCCTGTTTCTCTGTCTGCTTTTATTTTTTTTCTCTGTCTGCTTTTATAACTTTTTACATTCACTACAATTCTTGACTGAATTTAGTCATCTGTTACTGTTGTGCTTACCAAATGGGACGTTTTTGATTTGTAATATTTTTTCTACAGTTATTGATTGGAATTCTACTGAAAAGAACTTTCTTTTCTCCCTCATTCCCTCAGTTATTTATTTCAGTCACTGTGAACTCATTGATATTTATTTTATTCTTTGAGTTATGTAGCCTATCACTACTGTTTTTAATTTTTTTCATTCAGATTGTTCCAGACAATTGAGTTTTATTCAGTTGTCCTGCTGGGAGCTTCCTTAGGTTGACTTAATCCCCTTATGATTTATACTTATTTTTGTTGTCTTTTGTTTTGGGAACCTTACCCAGAAGTGCTTGGGGATTACTCCTGACTCTGTTATCAGGGGTAACCAGGGGTCACTCCTGACAGTGCTTAGGAGACCATATGTGGTGGTGGGGCTCAAACAGAGGCCACCCGACTGCAAGACAAGTTGTCTCAACCTCTGTCCTATATCTCTGACACCATTGGGTTGGGACTGAGCCATACCTGGTGGGGGTTTACTCCTGGCTCTGTGCTCAGGGATTACTCATGATGGTGCTCAGGGGACCATATGAGGTGCCAGGGATCAAATTGGATTGACCACTTGTCGAACAAGTGCCTCACCCCCAGCACTATCTCTCCTACTTTGCTATTCTATTCTCTCTCTCTCTCTCTCTCTCTCTCTCTCTCTCTCTCTCTCTCTCTCATTTCTAGGCCACACCTGGTGATGATCAGAACTTACTCCTACTTCTGTACTCAGGAATCACTCCTGGTGGGCTCGCGGGACCACTCAGAGTATTGCAGAAAAAAACCCCAGGTCAACTGCGTGCAAGGCAAATGCCCAATCCTTGCATTATAACTCCGGCACCATCTTGTTCTCATTCTTTAGTTATTCCTTATGGCATACCTGGATGTTCCATGTTCACCTTTCTCATTTTCTCTTTAAAGGAGCCACTTCAGCAATCAGGCCTATGATGGAATGCTGTTGGGCCGGGCTGGACTGGCAGCCCTTGGGAGGCTCTGGGTGCTGAGCTCAGCCCTGTGTTGAGCTCTCTCCCACTTGTGCTCTGTTTCCAGCAGCAGTGTGTGTTATTTTCATTAGTTTTTTGGTTTGCATTTTGAATTATTTTTTTTGTTTTTCTCAGATATGAAGATACCTGGGCCGCACTTCACAGAAGAGCCAAGGAATGTGCAAGTGCTGGAGAGGTAAAGAATTGGTTAACCTTATCCTTCTGGGAAGAACACCCTTTTGCAAAACCAGATACCGGTTTTTAAGAAATTGTAACTAAATTTTATTGAGTTTCTGAGAAACTGAATTTAGTAGTTAATTATGAAATTCCCTAACTAACGCACAATTTTGTAATCTCTCAGTTAAGTCATAGAGTAAGAGTTTATGGTTAGAGTATTGTGGTCATGGTCTGTTAGTTAAAAGTTTATAGCTTTGGGGCCATAGAGATAGGAGAGCAGGCAGGGTACTTAACTCACCTTGCACGCAGCCAACCCGGGTTTGATCTTAGCACTCCATATGGTCCCCTGAGCCCTGCCAGGAATGATTCCTGAGCGCACAGCCACGAGTAACCCATGAGCACCACCAGATATCCCAAAACAAAACAAAACAAAATTTTACAGCTTTTATTTATTTATTGCTTTTTTTTGGGGGGGGGTCACACCCGGCAATGCACAGGGGTTATTCCTGGCTCTGCACTCAGGAATTACTCCTGGCGGTGCTCAGGGGACCATATGGGATGCTGGGAATTGAACTCAGGTCGGCCGGGTGCAAGGCAAACGCCCTACCCGCTATGCTATCGCTCCAGCCCCACAGCTTTTATTTTTAAGTCACAAATATTTGATTGTTCTAGTTGCAATGCTTTGTGTTTGTGTCTGATTCCTTTGTAGTATATGAAAATTAAAGATTTTCTTTCTGTCCACTACAACTTCCTTATTTTGATAAGAATTTGATTGTCCTAACCCATCTAAAATTATTAATTTTCTTAGAAAAGACAGTAGTTTCAGGGGTCACTGTGATTCATGTAGAGAAGCAAGCTTTTTTAGCACTGTATGTAGAGTTTTAAGATTTAAGTTTTAAGATTCATTATTCAAGATCAGATATGCTGTTATCGATGTTAATTTTTCTAAAAATGCTCCGTGAATTTTCTAAAAATGCTCCATGAATCTAATTAAATTAGAATTTTAAATTAATTGACTTTCTTTACCATTTACCAAAATTAGTGAAGTTGAATAGTTGCATGGAATATAATAATACATGTGATGAAATTTAAACATTAATGATTCTCATAGAAATTACTAAGACGATGGATGTAGGCTTCTGACAAAAAGCACAGTTTTGTGCAGCCTTATAGCAATAAAAAACTCTAATATTGCATAGATTAAAAATGTTAATGCATTAAGCTCATTAAAAATTAAGGGAAAATCATGAAACAGGAGTGCTAGTCCAGTGAAGGGAGCACATGGCTTTATGCAGGAGACCCAGATTTAATTCCCAGCACCCTGTGGTCCCCGAGGACTGCCAGGAACAATTATGAGCACAAAACCAGGAGTATCCCCTGAACTCTGAGCACTACCAGGTGTCGTGTCCAAAACCAAAAGGAAAAAGAAAGGGAAATCCTAAAGACCCAAAAAGTGAATAAGAAATTTCAAATTACAATAGTTAAAAACAACAACAACAGCAATGTATTGTGAACAACTTTATGAATGGAAAACAAAACAAAATAAAACAAATATGCCATGAAGACTTGGATGGAGAGTATAGGGGTGAAGGGTGAAGTATAGTATAGGGGTGATGACATTCCTTGTATGTCGTCAACCCAGGTAAGTCCCTGGCGCTGTGAACGCTTCCCTGAGCATGATCAGGAATCAGGCCTGAGCCCTGATGGGTGTGGCCCAGCCCCCTTCTCCCCAGAAACATGGAGTCTGGGGTTAGATACAAAATCAGCGCTTTTGAGAGATAGGACACTCTGTGGGTAACAGAGTTGAAGACTCCGTGGTTATTTCTTGCATCTTTGAAGTAGCTGTATCCCTAAGCTAAGAAAGGAAAAGACAGAAAAGAGGGCTGGAGCAATAGGACAGCTGGTAGAGCACTTGCTTTGCATGTAGCCAACTGGAGCTCAATCCCTGGCGCCCCAGAGCATCCCTGGAGCACCTCTTGGAGTGGTCCCTGAGCACCGCTAGGAGTGTTCCCTGAGCATAGAGCTGGGAGTAAGCCCTGAGCACAGCCAGGTGTGGCCCAGAAACAGGAAAAGAAAAGTTATATATAGGCAAAAGGGAGCAACAAGAAAAATGCTCCGTTCTCATAACAACATGGAATAAATATAGATAACTTTCTAGATTTGTTACCATGGTTTTGGCCTCGCATAAACATGAGCTCTGATTTATACTTCTAGCCTGATCAAGGAACAAAGAAATAAAGAAACCTCGGGTAACTGTTCTCTGGCACTTAATACAGTCATATTCTATGTGAATAAAACTTTGTAACTCCGAGCCCCTGAAGATCCCCAGAGATTAATTCCCTTTCTGTGTTCTCTAAAAAACTTGCTATCAGAAATTTAAGTCAGCTGGAGCGATAACAAAGTGGGTAGGGCATTTGCCTTGCACGTGGCTGACCCGGGTTCGATTCCCAGCATCCCATATGGTCCCCTGAGCACCGCCAGGAGGAATTCCTGAGTACAGAGCCAAGAGTAACCCCTGAGCATTGCAGGGTGTGACCCAAAAAGCTAATATATATATACACATATATATTTACATATATATAAATATATGTGTCATTGGACTAAGAAGGAAGATTGCTGTTGACAGTAGCTTTAACTTTTAATCCAACTCTGTTGGATTAAAAGTGTTAAATAAGATTTCACAAAATCTTTTACAGAGATGAAAGACTGGTAAATTTATTAGAATGGACTAATATATAGCTAGTGGTAATGTGGGTCCCTGTGTCTGTCCTGGCATTGGAAAAATAAGTGTGTGTATATGTTTGTGTAGATATATACACATATATGTATGTTTGTATACTTATCTGCACATGTATGTGTATGTGTGTTAGACTATCAAACATGGTTAAGAAGTCATCAAAATTTTTAAAAATAATCAAAATTTTAAAAATATAAAATTGATAACTGAAAGGGTTGCTAGTAGCAATTGTATACAACTGTAAAGACTGAAGTAGATCAAGTTGCTTATCTAGAAAGGATCTCTGAGATATAAAAATGGAAAGTATGAAGTAGTAAATGGAGAATAGAGATCAAAATCTTTAGGATGAACCAAGTGTATTACTAGTGTTGGACATTGATCTGAAAAATTTTGATCTGAAAATTTTTAATTTTATTTATAACTAAAATGGTTATCTTTGAAAGAGGGGTTGAGTGGGAAATAATGAAGCAAAACATAGTAACTGAGGATTTTCAGAAATATGTAAACCCTTACGTCTAAAAAGTGCCACAGACAAAATAGTTTCCCATTCATAGACATCCAAGGCTGAAGCTGTAGATCGCCAGACAAGAAGGTGTCACATCAATTAAAAGAGAAAGATCTCTCGAGCATCCTAGCACGTTTCTCAACTAGTTGTCAGGAATGAGACCAAAATAAGACATTCTCAGATAAAAATACAGTTTTCTATCAAGAGTTAACAATACAGAATCTATGACTATAGCAGGATAAAGGAAAATGATTTGAAAGATTTACCTAAGATATAGGAAAGAATATTGAGCAAAAAAATATTGGCAAACCACTTATAAATTTAAGTAGGTGCTTATCTAGAGAGCATCTAGATAAGCAATATGTTCATTTTGTGGGATAAAATTATAATCTGTGGAATTAAAGATGATAGAACAAACATGTGAGATAACCAGCATCATGTAATTTGGAAAGCAGGCTAGCAGAATCCAAGCATTCTGCAACCCGCTAATTCTTTTTTTTTTTTTGGCGGGGGGGTTGTCACACCCAGCAATGCTCAGGAGTCACTCCTGGCTCTGCACTCAGGAATTACCCCTGGCGGTACTCAGGAGACTATGGGATGCCAGGGATTGAGCTCTGGTCGGCCGCGTATGAGACAAACACCCTACCTGCTTTGCTATCGATCCAGCCCAACCCTTTGCTTCTTTATGTGGTCGATGAGGTACTCAGTTGAAGATTTATAAAGTTTAACATGGAGCCAAAAATTCAAGGATAATCATTAGAGTGTAGAAATGTTGTCTATCTTTCAAATCAGATGAATAAGAAACAAGCATATTGAGACATAATTCATAGATGACAAGTGAGACAGCTTGGCGGGCTGCATGCATGCTCTACACATAGGAGGGTCCACGGGGGACCCCCACAGGACTCTGAAAAGATTAGGAAATTTTAGAGCTTGCTGCAGCTTGTGTGGAATTGGTGGGAATCAGGCTAAGTGAAGTGAGTCAGAAAGGAAAAAACCACACAAGATGATCTCACTCCTGTGCTGAGTAAAAAGGAACAAAAGTGAGGTACTGGACAGTCCCAGGGGGGGAACAATCTGAAATCTGGTCAATAGATCAGGTGGGTGGAGGAGGCGGTGTGGGATGAGGTCTCCGCTTACGTGGGGGAGTGTTCTTCTCACTGGTGCTGGGTGTGGTGTAACAGCACTGCAAGGATCAGACAAAAACACTGGACTTTGGTGACGCAAAAAATATTGGAATTAAAAGTTGATATTTTTTTTCTTTTTGGATCACACCCAGCGATGCTCAGGGGTTCCTCCTGGCTCTGCACTCAGGCATTACTCCTGGTGGTACTTGGGGGACCATATGGGATGCTGAGGATCAAACCCGGGTTGGCCGCATACAAGGCAAATGCCCTACCAGCTGTACTATTGCTCTAGCCCCTAAAAACTAATTGTTAAAAAGGATTTGGGAAGCGGCTTACCATCCCACTGCCCACGCCCATCTATCCCCACCACTTAGTAAATTCATTTTGGTTTTTTTTTAGATGTTTATTTGTTATGCTTATTAGACATCCAATAATTTGCAAGACCTTACATAAAGTTTCAGTCATGTGATGAGCCACACCTAGTGGTGGTTGTGGGATGGCAGCATTTCATTCCTAAGACACAGCAGGGTTATAAATCATGGTGCCTAAATAAAATGGAACAAGGACAGGAATTTGGAATGAGACTGGAATACACCTAGCACGGTAGCACTGTCCTTCCGTTGTTCATCGATTTGCTCGAGCGGGCCCAG